GACGGAGAGGGCGGTGAGGAGGCGTAGAACGGGAGAAAGAGGAGCCGAAAAAAGGAGAAACCATGGAGGAACAAGCGGGGGGAAGCAATAAAGAAAAGCCACTGGCGACTCCCAAACCTTTTCTCGTCGTTCCCCTTCCCTTCTCCTCTGTATCCCCCCCCCCCGACTCGTAGTTAGTTTGCAGTCGCAGCAAAGGTCAAGACGAGCAGAACACTAAGGCAAGCTGAAGCGGACGCAGCTCAAATCCAACCAAATAAGATGAAGAAGAAGAGAGAGCGCGAGAGAAAGAGACAGAGAAAGAGAGAGAGTGAGAGAAAAGCAGAGAGAGAGAGAGAGAGAGAGAAAACAAAAAACGAGAGAGAGAGAGAGAGGCCCGGGATATATTTCGGGCAGCCTGGCCAAACGTGTGGTCGGCAACAGGGCCTTCATTTCCAGGCGGGAAGGGCTTCCTCCCGATCACCCGCTGCTTCCCCCCCTCCTCCTCCAGGGCGACCATCTCCTCTACAGCGGGGCAGTTTCTGAGCCTGGTCCAGCTCACGTTGCGTCCTTTCAGGGCGGAAGCTGCCCCTAAGCAGCGAAGACCCCTGACAGCATGGATACGTCAGTAAGAGGACCCCGCTTCGCCGCTTCGCTGTGTAAGGACTCGTGCCCAGGATCACCCCCACCCGACATTATAAGGAAAGTGGCACACATTGTTCGTGCCTCCTCCTCCCCCATCCCGTCTTGCCCCCTATCGCCAATGGCGTCATTGTAAGCTCCACCACGTCCAGCTGGCCAGCTAGCAGTGTCCAGCTCTAGTCCCTGCACTGGGGATGCGTGGTGGAGAACAACCACGTGGAGGGAGAGAGAGAGAGAGAGAGAAGCTTGGGGAACAAAGGTTACAGGGGAGAGATGGACAGCCACCGCCGTCACGACGGATCCGCGTTGCGGTGAAATCCCGCGTTTGACACTCTCCAGATCATGATCCGATTGCAGGGAAGCACAATCTGGCATCAGAGACCCGCCATTACGACAAAATGCGTAGCTTCCTCATGGGGTGCGTGCAATAAAGGACCTGTCTTAAGACGAAGTTCCGGCCTCTTCTTGCGTGCACGCAGGTCCTCTGGACACCGCGCAACCCCCACCTGGGTGAGTACATCCAATTCGCCCCCACAGAACCTCGGCTGCTGAAATCAGCCGCCGAAAGGCCAACGATGGCCAAGGACGTGGGGTAGGACAGGGACGGAGGTGTGCGGATGAGCGGGAGGAAAAAGAAAAATAGGAAGCACTGCTTTTTAATGCTTCCATTGCCTAGCCAGTTGGCTGCGGAGCTAAGGCGAATCGCTGCGCCACGCACAATCATCATCATCATCATCATCATCACCATCATCACCAGCATCCTCACCATCAGCATCGTCATCATCAGTACCCCTATCATCTCCATCATCCAAACATTCCTCCGTATCCCCATCGTCGTCATCACGCACCTCGGATGGTTGCCCCGGAGCCACGATCCTCGGCGACGACGATGGCCTTCGACGACGACGACCACGACCACGACCACGACCACGACCAAGACGACGACGACGACGACGGCCTTCGATGTCGTTCAACGACGGCCGCGACGACGACGACCGCCGACAGGGCCTGTGCCCAGAGCTGCCGCTCGCCCTCGTCGATGGCGACGCCCTCGGGCAGCCAGCCGCCAACCATCCACGACGACTTGTGCAGATTGCGGCCGAGGCTGTACCTGCGCAGCGGGGCGGATGGTCGAAGGAGAAGGGAGAGGAAAACGATGAGGAGACAGACATCTGCGACGACGCCGTCGAGATGATGATGGTGATGTGGATGATGATGAGAATGATGATGATGATGATGATGAGGAGGAGGATGAGGAGGATGTTGATGATGGTGATGATGGTGGCGGTGATGATGATGAAGCTGATGATGATATGTGTGATGATGGCGGTAATAATGCCGATGCTGCTGATGGTGATGATGGTGAAGACGGTGGCGATCGTGCTAGTGATGATCAGTACGTTGTTCCGCCACAAGGAACGCCAGGCGAGCCCGACCAGCCACGGCCGATTAGGACCTATCTGCCACATGCGCAAGCCCGCGCGGCTCAAAACGAAGCTGCCCACGGCGACCACCACGGCGGCCGTGAGCAGGAGCGCCACGGCCCACAGGATGGACCAGTAAGCGAAGATGAATTCGCACAGGTAGCCAAGCGACTCCTCAGCCCAACTGCAGCCTTTCCACCTCGGGTTGGCCCACCTGTAGACGACGCGGCGCCTCGAAGGTCTCGTCGCCGAGGAAGCTCTGGATGCGGCACCTCCTGCTGCTGCAGCTCGCGTTCCCCCTGGCGCCGCAAGCCATCAGGAGGGAGCGCTTCGAGGTAACGCTGCTGGCACCCGATGAACCTCTCCGCCGACGCAGACGATGTGCCCCCTGGCCGCCGCACATGGAATCGCCTCGCCAACGGTCGCGGGCGGGGGGGCGAGTGGCCGCACTCCTGCCAGTGAGCTCGCGCCTCCTCTCTGCCTCTTGCGCTGCGGCGGCTGACATGGCCGCCTACCGCGCGGCGCCTCGCTGTCTCCACGTCGGTGCTGCTCAGCCCGCGCCGGCGGAGCTGCGGGTGGCCGCCGCTGTCCTCGTCGACGCGCTCGCCCTGCTGGGCGCGCTGTCCGCCCTCCTCGACGTGGAACTGCGCCGCCGCCACCAGAAGGACCGCCGCAACGCTCGCCGCCGGAGGGAGTCGCGGCCGCAAGCGGTCACGAGCGCAGCACCCCGGCCCCGCGCGCCCTCCACGCGGTTGGCGAGTATGGGATCCGCCCGATGGCTGTGGCAGCCATGCTGGCTCCCCCAAAAACTGGCCCCGCAACTCCAGCCTACTAGCTTGCCGTCGCTCGGACGTCCATTTCCCGTGCATTTTTCGGTTTCGTGCGTGTTTTTTTGCTCGATGGTCCAGGATGGTCCTCGATGGTCCTCGCCGAGAAAAAATGCACACGTCCGAGCGATGCCTAGTTGCCGTCGGTCCTGAAGCGCCGGCGTCCCTTCTTCCACGCGTCTTGCCTCACCTGGATGGCCCAGCGGCAGAGCGGCCCCGACAGGGCCACAATCCGCGGGCCGCGGGCGCCGCCCAGAAAGGCGATGGGCCACCTCGGCACAGATGGCAGCGCACGTCCACGCGCTTCCTGCATGATGCTCTGCATCTGCCCTCGCAATCTTGTCGAGCCCTCTCTCCCCAGCGTGCGAAGCTGGCAAAAACGCCGCAGCATGGCTTTCATGCTGTTGGCCCGCTTGCGGATCTTCATGTACGTGATCGGCGGACATGCCCTGACCTCCATGCCAAGGATGTCTATCGACTCGGTGAACAAAACCAACTCCGTGGACAGCCTCGCGACGCGTCGGTCGATCACTGGGCCCGAAGAGGTCAGTCGCGCCTTGTCCGACGTCAGCGGCAGGGGTATCTCGTGTCTGAGCGCCTGGGCCAGGTCGATTCGCATCCCGTAGGCGTGCTACATGATGACCGGGGCGCGGGCCTACAAGGCCCAATGTCGTCCGCGCGGACGTCGAGCATGCGTACATGCAGTGGGCGTTCCACGCGTCTGCTCAAGTAGCTGGCAGGCAAGCCCCGAGTGAACTTCTGGAGCAGCCCCGTGGCGAGCGCGCATCCAAGTAGCACTCCTCAGCGTGCCCACCCCACGTTGTCGCAGCACCTCTCGATGTCCACGGGCGCAGCGATCGCAACTGTGCCCTGCAGCAGTGCGTCCGCATGGACCTGGGCGCGACTGGCGACATCCATCGTAGCTCTCCCCGTGCGCAGCGCCATGGAAGACGGCCCACGTCTTGACCTCGAGCGCTCGCGCCCTCATCCGCGGCCGACGCGGCGACCGCATGAGGGCTGTGGTCCTGGAGCCCGTATGTTGAGCAGGGACCGGCCGTCCCAGCATTCCTATAGGCCTACCACGAGATGTTCTTAGAACCCCACAGAGTTCTATGAACAATAACAATGTTTTTATGGTATACACCCGACGTGTCAAAATAAGACAGCCTCAACCAGCAATGTTCGAATAACGTGTGCAAATCACAAAAGGATCTTAGAACATATTTGGGTAGGCCTATAGGCACGCCAGGACGTTTCGACACTGATTGAGTATGACCACTCGGGCCCCTCGCGACCTCTGCCAGCATGCCGACGTGCGCCCTTGGCGCTTGCTTCGGCCGCGCCCCCCACAGCCCCGCCGCATGCCGATGTTGGACGAAGAAGTTAAAATAGCCAAAAGATACAACGACAAAAAACACAAAAATGGTCAACACATAGTCGCCAGACTATTTCTTGACTAGGTGTGAATATTCCTCCAGTAGAGGCCCGACTTAAAAAGAACCCGGAAGTGTTCTAAGAACAAATGCAATGCTCTTAGAACATCAGCCCGATGTGAAACAGGACAGTCTCGGCCAGACATGTTATAATAACATCTCGCGCAGGCCACAAAAGGTTCTTAGAACATCTTTGGTAGGCCTACAGGCGAGCTAGGACGCTTCGCCACTGTTTCGTCCATGGAAACGCGCGGGCTTCGTACCTGAGCTGCGACGCTGCCATGGGCCCCACCTCGCCGGCGCTGATGGCGTCGAGGTCACGGCGGAGGTCCAGGCCCACGAGGGAGTGGGAGTCGGCAGGGTCGCCGCCGCACTCTTCACCTTCCCCGATGCCTCTCCACCTCGTCAGAAGGTGCCTGACCGCATCTGCTGGCGCCGCTGGCCTGGTTCTTTGCACATCATCCTGACTCCGCTGTTACCCTTTCGGCTGTGTGGTCGCGCGAGGGACCTTTGGGTTCTTCTTTGACTTCTCCAGGACCAACTCCGCACACCCTAGCGCAATCACTTAGCGAACGTTTGAGCTCCTCTAACTGGATGGGCCAGGTCACACAGCCACACTTCGAGCTCTCCAAGGACGGTCAGTAAGGCCAGCAAGGTATTGTTGCGCTTGTCAACAATGCTAAGCGCCTTCACCAACTGGCATGCGACGTTATCGGGGATCGCTGCCGAAGGGCCCTTCGGTGAGAGCACCTTGCACAGCTTCGCCTATGCTTGCCATGGGACGCACAAGGACATACTAGTACTATGTGTCGGCCTTGGATGCGCGCGTTCAACACGACTATATATATACATATATATATATGAATAATCTTGCAGCATACCGCTCCCGAGCGGTATGACCAGACACCGCCCGCCATGGCGCGTATACTAGAAGATTTCTCGAGGCGCGCGTCGCCCCCTGGCGGGGAGACGCGCAGATAGTATGAGCATGCCAGAGTAACCCCGATACATGGGCCTCTCAGCCTCCGAAAATGTAGGCAGGGTCGTCTTGCGCGTCGCAAAGCTGGGTGAGACAGACCTCCGCGCCCGTCGCGATGTTTACCCAGCATCCGTCGATAAGCTCGCTGCGACTACTCCGTGCCAGCCTCATGTATTTCCCGAGCGCCGCCAGGCGCTCGGGTCTGATCTTCTCATCCTCGCACTCCTCCTCGCCCACCTGTATGGGCCATACCACATAGACTGTACCACATGGCATGGAGCACGTATGTTGAGCCATATAGCTTGCACCACATGGCCTGCACCACATCGATGGCAACGAAAAGTTTGAGACCGCGAATTGCACATTTGATGCAGGGAATCACTGTTTCGGGCCAACGTTGGCAACGATGCTTGTTGGCACTAAGTGCAGGGCTTGTGACGGGAGGGCGGACTGCAGCATCCAGCGCATCCTTGGTTCACTCTGGGCCCTACTCCTGCCCAACTGCCTCCTCGTCTGCTCATCCCCCTCCACCTCCCTCCCCCGCCTCGTTCTTCTCTTCCCCCTCCCTGATCTTCTCTTTTATCCCAGGTCCTCATCCTTCCTCCTCCGCCCTCTTTTCTCATCCCCCTGTCTCTACTTCTTCCTCCTCCCCCTGCGACACAATATCCTCCTCCTCCTCCTCCTCTCCCCCCCTGCCCCGGTCCTACAAACTCGTATCTCCCTCGTCTCCTCCCGCCCACCTCCTGTCGCCCTCTCGTCCTCTCTGCCCCGACGCCCTCGTTTTCACAACGTGGGCTTCCCCCACAGATCAGCGCCAACTTCTCGTCCACAGCCGGTTTCTGACGGCCCTACAGCCGGGGAAAGAGCTCTGAGTGCCCCAACAGCGGCGAACAAACGCCAGGGACACTTGTCGAATCTTCTCATGGCGACCTCCTCCTCCTCATCCTCCTACTCCTCCTCTTTCCTCGTGGGGAATTCAAAAGCTTCTGTTGTTTCTCGACTCGCGCTGAAGGTTCCATGATTCGTTCAAAAACTATCTGGACATCTCTGGATGTACCTCGGCTTGTCCGGATGCTCATCGGCTGACATGAATTCTTCTTCGACCCGAATAAATTTGGAAGAAGAAACAACCACATAAACATAAATTCTTGGCGCTCCGCGCGGATTTCTTGGTTTCGCGCTAACCCCCCTCCGGGGCTCGCGGAGCGCTCCTGGGGCGGCGCCGGAGGCGCCGCCGTGGAGCCCAAGCGCGGACCCAAAAAAAAATCCGGGCGGAGCGCCAAAAGTCTATGTTTATATATGTGTTGTTGTTCTTCCCCCGGGGGGCCCAAGCGCGGACCTAACAAATCCAGGCGGCGCGCCAAAAGGTTGTTTTCATGTGCTGTTCTTGTTCTTCACATTCTCCTCGCTCCGAACGAGTTGCACAACGATCGGGAAAGAGTGGTGCCCGGACGTCGAGGATGTTGACGTCGCAGGCACAGGCGAGGTTGGTCGGCGGGCCCAGATCAGGGGGACGTAAGACCTGGGTACAGGGGACTCGGAAATCCCCGACGAGGTCGTCAAAAAAATGACGAGTCCGAGCCTGCATTTTGACGAGGCCTCCCGCTGCAGACATCCCACGAAATTCCTCCTCGTCAAAATCCGAGGCGCGGTCGTCAAGAAACGATGGCGAACCCGAGTCCTGGCAAACCCGGGTCTTACGCTCCCCCGACCAGAGAGTTGAGAGGACGAGGATGAGGGGGCGGCGGACACGAGGAAGGAGGAGGCGGGCGTCGGCGAAGCCAGGGAGCGTGGCGTCCAGGGCAAACGCCCAACTCAACTCCGGAGGCGGCGGCCTCCGCCGGGCCCGCAGGGTGCGGCTTTGAGAGAGGGGCCTTCCGAAGGAACTGCAAAACAATCGGAAAAGAGTTGTCAAACCTCCAGGACGCCTCATTCCCAAGCCGGCCCTCGGGCCTCCACCCCTCGCGCTTCTTCACAATGCCCAGCATCGCCGCGGCCACACCGTCGTCCACGTGCCGGCAGACGGTGATGCCGCAGTTCTTCGAGCCGTCTATTGAAGTTCCCCGTCCTCCTCCTCCTCCTCCTCCTTCTCCTCCTCCTCCTCCTCCTCCTCCTCCTCTAATGCTGCTGGTCCGCGCCTCCTCCACCTCCTTCTTCTCAACATCACCCCCCTCCGTCTCCTCCTCCTCCTTCTCCTCCTCCTCCTCCTTCTCCTCCTACTCCTCCCCCTCATCATCATCATCATCATCATCATCATCATCATCATCATCATCATCATCATCATCATCATCATCATCATCATCATCATCATCATCATCATCATCATCATCATCATCATCATCATCATCATCATCATCATCATCATCATCATCATCATCATCATCATCATCATCATCATCATCATCATCATCATCATCATCATCATCATCATCATCATCATCAGCAGCAGCAGCAGCAGCAGCCTCCTCCTCCTCCTCCCTCCTCCTCCTCCTCCTCCTCCTCCTCCTCCTCCTCCTCCTCCTCCTCCTCCTCCTCCTCCTCCTCTTCCTCATCATCATCATCATCACCACCATCATCATCATCATCATCATCATCATCATCATCAGCATCATAATCATCATCATCATCATCATCATCATCATCATCATCATCGTCGTCATCATCATCGTCGTCATCATCATCAGCTTCTCATCATCATCATGATCATCATCAAGATCAGCATCATCAGCATCATCAGCATCACCACATTCATGCTCATCACCATCATCAACATCATCGTCGTCATCATCAGCAGACGCAACATCATCAGCATCATCAGCATTATCAGCATCATCACCACCATCATCATCGTCATCGGCATCATCAGCAGCATAAGCATCGACATCATCAGCATCAGCATCATGATCACCAGCATCACCATCACCATCGTCAGCATCATAAACATTTATCAGTAGCATAATCATCATAAGTATCATCATCATCAGCAGCATCATCATCACACTCAACATCGTCATCATAAACATCAACATTATCATCCGCATCACAACATCGTCGTCGTCATCATCGTCGTTGTCGTCGTCATCGGTATCGTCGTCATCGTAATCGTCATCATCGTCATCGCCAGCGTCAGAATCAACATCATCAACGTTATCAGCATCATCACTATCAGCATTATCAAAATCATCATCATCATCGTCGCCATCATCATCACCACCATCATCATCATAACCGTCATCAGCATCATCAGCATCATCATCGACATCAGCATCATCAGCATCACCACGATTATCATCGTCATCATCATCATCATCGTCATCATCATCCTTATCCTCATCCTCATCCTCGTCCTCGTTCCCTTCCTCCTCCTTCTGCTCCTTCTGTTCCTCCTGCTCCTCCTGCTGCTGATCCTGCTCCTCAGGCCGATCCTCCACATCCTCCGTCGCCCAGAACGCTTCTGGGCACCTCCTCGTCCTTCTCTGGATGCCTCCAGTACTTGTTGGCAAAATAGAGAAAAGCCTCCAGTACTTGTTGGACCATTACCCCGCCGATCTGCGTGAGGGGTGCCACCGGATGTCAGAAATGTGGCATATGTCCTCTGGTTTTGGGCACTGACCCCGCCGATCTGCATGAGGGGCGCCACCGAATGTCAGAAATGTGGCAAATCCATTGTGTTTTTGGACCCTGACTGTCAAATTTTCCCACCCACGCAATTCAGACAATACGATTTGGGCGTGGTCAAAATGCCCCCTCGCGCAGTCCATCAACAAGGAACCACAAGCAGCAAGAAGTCAACAAGGAACAGTAAGCAGCAAGGAACTGAACTGTAACAGTGGAAACTGGAAGCTGCAACTGGCACAGGAAACTGCGAACCTCCGGCCTACAGCCTGGTGGCCCCACGAAGGGGCCGGCGGATATCCACACACACATATATATATATATATATAGCTGAGTCGGCTTTTGTTCGCCGTGCACACCCTCGTTCCGACGGGGCGCGACCTGAAGGCCATGCACGGTTGCTATATGCGCCTTCTTCGGCGCATAGCTGGTGTCCCCCGTTTCATTCCAGAGAACAGCACCACCCACAGGCAAATCAGGGACACGCTGCAACAGCCCAGCCTCGACTGCCTCCTCGCGCGCGCCCGGCTTGCTTTCGCTGCGCGGGTGTGCCGCGATCGTCCGGCTGAACTTTTAGCTCTCCTTCATCTTCGTGTCGGTGGCGATTCCAGCCGCTTGCCATGGGTCACCCAGCTGGCCAGTGATGTCGATGTACTTTTGAACGTCCTTGCGATTAGCCAATGGCCTTCCCTATTCGCGGCCCCGCAGTTCTGGCACGACAAAATGTCGCAGCCCTGCGAGTGGAGCAAAATGCTGGACGCACTTTTCTTCACCGAATCTGTCTGCGATCGCCAGAAGGATGCATCTAGTTGTGGCGCTGTGCGCCCGTTTGTCTGTCCAGACTGCGATTGCGCTTTTGTGTCTTCGCGTGCTCTTGAATTTCATGCGAGGGTCAAGCACCTCAAGCGGAATATAGTACAAAGTGTCCGCTGTCTTGCACACCTGTCAGACCGGCGCCGCTCTCGATGCAGGGATTGGGTCCTACGGCGCTGCCAGCAACTCCAGCCAGCACCGGTGGCGAACCTCGACGAGGCCGACAGGGAGCTTCGCCGAGCCGCTCAACGCAGCGGCCGATCCCACGACATAGCCAAAGGCGCTGCCCGCAACCGCTTTGGCAGTGTAAATGGCCGAACTTCTGCATAGCAGAAACCACCATCCGTGTGTACAGCGCGTGCCTTGCGACTACCATGCCTTGAGGATATATATATATATATATATATATACATATGTAGATATACATATTTACATATATATATACACACGTAGATGTACCGAATCCAATGCGAGAGATCGCATTGCAAACCTTACCTTCATCGTGCAAATCCTGCCCGTGATGCCTTGGTTTCTTATTGGTGCTGAAAGTGCACGAATATGAACAATGCCACTCCACATGAACGGTTTGTCGACCGTCCTCCCGTCCAACCGAATTAGATGCATTGAACATGTGGGAGACCGAATGCGCTTGTGTCGTGTTAAATGATTGCTCGTGTTACCTGTCGCGCTCAGCATCACCATGACGGTGTTTGCGCAAACCTGCGAAATCTCCTATAGCCTCGCGGCATCACTTCGCCCAGTGCCAAAGCTACAAATTTGATTACCATCAAAACAGATGCTCCGCATCATGAGAAGAAGGGTTATGGTACAGCGACCCGCCCCAGTCAACATGAGGTCCCCGCCCCCCGTGACTCTCATTATCACCATGTCAGTGGTGACCAGGATGGGTGCTAAGAGCTGGAAAGCTCCTTGGGCCTGCATGCGCGGGGGAGAGGAAGAGGGCAAAGGCGAGCAGCCAAGGCGGGAACGAGTCGTAACCGCCCGGCTAAGGGAAGGACCGCAGCAGCGGTAGGGCACACGGCACAGCAACGCGCACAGCAGTACAGAAGGGGGCCCATCAATATTGCGTCCAACTGCACAGGTTTGCCTACCTGGCCGCGGGCCGACAACGCCCCCTGTCCAAATAACGAAACAGGATCCAGGGCCTTGCCGGTGCGGGGGTGAAGGCCCTGGGCATATCATTTACTTCCGAAGGCTTGGCTACTCTTCATCGAAGGGAGGTCCGACCGACCGTTGCACGGGGGAAACGTACAGGGCAGCTTTTGATTTTAATTCGTGAACAATGTATGAATAAATTTATGCATGAACTCATCGTTGTTTTTAATTCTACTTCACTGCATTTTTTATACATGATCAAAACGCCGAGCATGGATAAAACATTGCACTGTATGTGGGCCAAGCAGCAGCGGCAGCAGACGGCCGGAGGATAGTCCCAGACTCCAGCTGACACGACGATCACCAAAACAAGTCCGCCTTCCTGGAGGGGACAACGGAAGGGCCGAAGGCCGTGCATATGGAGCACGCTCGGCCCAGGACTACGCGCAGGAGGATGCACGGTTTCCCCCGGGGCCGTAGGCGACCCGAGGAGGAGGAGGATAAGGAGGAGGAGGACGACGAGGAGGAGGAGCAGGGGGAGGGGGTGGGGGGAGGAGGAGGGGGAGGAGGAGGAGGAGGAGGAGGAGGAGGAGGAGGAGGACGAGGAGGAGGAGGAGGAGGAGCAGGAGGAGGAGGAGCAGGAGGAGGAGGAGGAGGAAGAGGAGAACGAGGAGGAAATTGAGGAGGAGGAGGAAAAGGAGGACGAGGAGGAGGTGGAGGAGGGAGGGTGAGCAGGAAGAAATGGAGAAGGAGGGGGAGAAACAGGAGGAAAAGGACGGGTCGCCTAAGCCCTTCGGACCTTCGGAGACGGACGGGGAGGACGATGAGGAGGAGGGGGAGCGAGAGATGGAGGAGGAAGAGGAGAAGGAGGAGGAGGAGGAGGAGAAGGAGGGGGAGGAAGAGGACGACGAGGGAGAAGGAGGAGGAGGAGAAAGAGGAAGAGGAGGGGCCGCCTCAGCCCTTCAGGGACGGAGGGGGGGAGGAGGGGAGAGAGGAGGAGGAGGAGAAGAAGGAGGAGGAGGAGGAGGAGGCGGAGGAAGAGGCGGAGGGGGAGGCGGAGGAGGAGAAGGAGGAGAAGGAGGAGGAGAAGGAGGAAGGAGGAGGAGGGAAAAGGAGGAGGAGGCGGAACAGGCGGAGGAGGAGGAGGAGGGGAGGATGACGAGGAGGAGGAGGAGCAGGAGGAGGAGGAGAGGAGGAGGAGGAGGAGGAGGAGGAGGAGGAGGAGGGGTCGCCTCAGCCCTTCGGAGAGGGAGGAGGAGGACAAGGAGGAGGCCAGGCTCGACCTGAAAGGTCATGCAAAGCAAACGCAAACCTACCTAAGGGCGTCTTTCTTCCAACCCCTGACCCTAGCTCCCCCCAGCCGCAGCTGGGACGAGTCGGCGATCAGGGGTCGAAGGGGTCGTTGGGTCGGGAGGCCGCACTGCCCCTCCGCCTGGCCGCCCGGGCCCTGGTCCTGGCCTCCAGAGCCCTCGACCCAAGAACTGGGTTTGGGCCTGCTAGGGCCCGAAGAGCGGAAGCACCTCCAGCATAGACGGCCTCTCCGGGCCCTCCGACGCAGGCCCGACCTGGGTAGCCTCAGGGCGCACAGGGGGAAAGTGTTCGGACCAACATGGAGTTTCGGAATCCGGGGGCGACCTGAGACCCCCGAGCCTTCTAGCACTCCCTTTGGGATGCT